TCCTTACTCGGGTCTTGCCAAACGGGTTTCAATTATTCCGGTTCTTTGGATTTGGATCGCCCAAGAGCTTCCATTACGAGATAGTAGTACCAAGATTATAGGTAATATACCCAACCGATCGTCGAATAATTGTTACCGGAACACAGGCCTATTTTTCTAAAAACGTCTCCAGTGAGATTTGAACTCTAGACCTGCCGCTTGGGGGTGACAACTTAACCACTACTCTAAGTCGCCACACCCTTGATAATAAAAACTTAAAATAACAAATACTTAAAAGAAAATACTTACTTGATCGTCTTCACCTTCTGAACTAGTAACTTCATCTGTAGTTGGTGGCAAAAATACATCACCTCCTTCGAGTTTTCTCTATAAAGTATAAGATTAGTATAAAATTAGTAAAGGTTAGAATTATATTTAATTTTTTTAATTTATTAGAATTAATTCAAATTATTTTAAATATTTTAAAATTATAAAAATTATAACTTATTATTTAAATTTTACTTAAAAATTTTTATTAAGACGACTTTTACCCAATTGTTCAGACAGCATAATTTTATCATAATGCAGGCTTAGCATTATTTCACAAACTGAAATCGCATATGCTGTCTGAACTGCAGTTGTTTCAGCACCAGGCCAAAGTTTTTCTAGTATTTTTTCCATATATGAAATATATGAAGGAGATTCAGTGTCGCTTGGGTCAATTTTAGTGAAAAGCTTCCTATAACAATTTTTGGTTTTATCGGAAGCTTTCCACGACGTGACATTCGCAGGAAAAGAATTTGTATTGATGGAATCTAATTAGCTTATGCCAAAAATGGAAAACATTGCATCTTTTATCTTCGTTGTTAATGCACTTCTATACGTTCTAAATTGTCATAATAGCTAAAAATTTATGATAAAATTAGACAATAAAATATTTTTAAATATATTTGTATTTATATAAATTAATTCTAATTAATTCGAATATATTCGAATTAATTAGAAAATTTAATATTATTCAAAATTAAAAAAAAAATTTACAGGCTCTTTAATAGACTTAGCATAATATGTTTTCCATCGCGTTTCATTCATACTTTCAAAAAATTCATTTTGATTTTTTGATAAGTAATATTCTGTTGCTTCAATTAATTCTTCGTCAGATGGATAAATTGAATCTTCGATTAATTCTTTGGCTGTTTCTTTTACAGTGAGCTTATAATAAAATTTAAATTATTAATAGGAATTTATTATTATTAAATCTTATATCATATATCCAAATATATTTAGAAATTGGAAAATTATATTTATAACACCATGTTATATAATACCCAGTCATGTGACACAACTAAACACATAATTATTATACTATTACACGGCATTAAAGTACTATATCACGTGACTCGTCATAATATTGACTAATCAAAAATCATACATATTCGTTACATAAACTAGTCAGACAAATTACTCCAACATGATAAACCGGGCATAGTCTAAACTACTCTTGCGGTATTAATAAAAAATATCGGGAAGCATTCAGCAATAAACTAACCCTGATCTTTATTTAAAATAGTAATATCACGCAGGTACAAGGCTTCAGTGATTTCTATTCATATCAATAAGCTAAACTTGCACGTATATATACGTATACGTATGTACATACGTATAACAAAGACAATGTTGATATCGATATTAACATCACTGTATAGTAAGTAATACATACAATTGAACATGATCTAAAACAGAAGTTGTTAAGCGCCTTTATTAAACAATATCAATATCAATATTGATATCAGTATATATATAGTAGATATTAACATAAAACGCTATTATTAAATCAAGCATCTTCAATAATCCAGCATATGGACTTGTTGAAAAAGTTTAGAACCGATCATCGCCTTGTTATACAGTATATAATAGAAAGAACTTCGTTAATACCAATACAAAAGATAAGACTTTTTAAAAGAAAATGTCATCTAACCTCTAAATGCAAAAAAAAAAAGACCATCGTTTGACTTATCTAAACTCTTCATATGAATCCGTTTATCCTATAATATAATATGAAAAAGAGCTTTGTTAGCATTCTTAATATGAAAGAATAGCAATATACTATACATTATATGAACTATAACCTTAACGTGAAAGAGAAACGTTTTAACATCTGATAACTTGCCCATACTCTGCGTAGTATGAAAAAAGATCTTTATTAAAACCCGCCTAAAATAACAAAAAACTTTGTTACGTAAGTACTTCACCCTAACCTTAACTTTAATAAGAAAGATAACTATTACGTAATAATTACCCTCACAAAGACTATATTACATATCTGTTAGTTAGTTGTTAACAAAGTATACATGGGTATCACAAGAGAAAACTTGAATTTTTTTTTTAACAAGATTTTCAAGTTTTCTCTTGGCATCATTGATACAAATATAGTAATACACATATATTATAACGCCAATACATACGTATATATGCATATACCTACTGCTGCTTCTATAAATTAGATTTTTTTGTAGACACATGTTTCGATAATGATTTGGTTTATGACAAATTCTACACAATCTTGTGCCTGCATCTGATTTGGCTTTTTTTTTTGGTTGATACTCTTCTTGCGCACCTTTAATACGATTTTTTTTCAGAGCCCCTTTTCTAATATAATGTAGAGGATTGGCGACATCATCAATGGCAATTAGTTGGTCATTGTCAGTTTCTATAGCTATAGTATTTCTTGAACTATAATTCTCTCTAAGAACTCTCATTTCTCTTTCTTTAATTTCTTTTTTATGCTGAAGAATCTTTTTTTCAATATAACTTTTCAAAAAAGTATCCAATTCATTGTCATTCTCGCCATCACCCTGTAGTGTAATAGTCCGCTTTGCGAAGCTTATTGATTTGTTAAACTGAAGCTTTTTGTTTACAGATTTTTGAAAGTTATTTTTCTGAATATCGTCCACTCTAAGTAAGTTCATGTTTGTCGCATCACTTAATTGATGTATAATCGGTGCTAATTCAGTATTTCTATTTGATGTTAAAAATGGCTCTTGAGCACATTCAGATTCAGTTACATCATCCTTGCACTAACGAATAGGCAGCAACATTATATGGAACCTTGCAAAATTCGATTCAAGTAACACACAAAAAAAATGTCGACATGCAAGCCCGTGACTAACCAAAAAAAGGCAAGTACATAAATGACGACTATTTTTATACAATATAACATAGTGAACAGACGTGGTTGAAATCAAACATGTAATCCTTCAAATTTCTTGAATAGAAGAATATTCGTTTTCTTTTGCGAAATATTGTATATGTTTTCAACAAAGTCGTTATCATATGTGACTTCTTGTAAATTTAATGAATTATCAAAATCCCACAACTATAAAATAGAACTAGTTAATTAAAATAGCAAATAAATTAACCCAACTATTACCTACATACATTTAGTATTTGAGCCCGGTAGATAGTCGATTGAACTATCTGCTTTTGTTGCTTAGTTGCTAAATTTGGTGTTAAATATTTATTTATTTGCTAAACAATTTGCAGAAAAACAGATTGTAAAACAAGATTATCATTGTAATTAATTCGATCCTGAGACCACAAATTAAACCGTTGATTAAGATTTTCACGCTCGATACGTTGTTGTATTGCTTCTATTACTTGTGATAAAGTTGATGAGCTATTTATTGCAGTTTTGATATGATTATTAAGTCCCTCGACTCTTTGAGTCAATTGCATTCCGCCAGTAAAAATTTTAAATGTATAAGCGCATGCCCATGATTCTTTATTTAAAAATAGCTTTTGTAGATATAGGGATGCAGCTGGATATTTATTCAAAAGGATTGTAAATCTTGCCTCAAATACACTTTCACTCAAACTATTACGCGCTGAATAAAAATCTTTAATGAAATCTGCATACTGTTTGCCAAGTTTATCTCGAAGATTTTTTATAAGATTCTGACTTAAATGATACAAACAAAATAAATGTTTAGTATTCGGAAGATCATAAGCTACAACATATTTCATGACAAGATCCTCATCCGGCATTAAAATTCTTGGTAAAATTCCAGTTGCCTTTTTTAATTGACCCATAACCCAACGAAAAGACTCAATAGTTTCATCAGGCATTAAAGCCTATGCTGCAATTCGTGTTTTATTATGATTATCAATTAAAACAAAGAGACACAAAGGAAAATTATAATGATTTGTTTGTACTGTGTTGTCTTGAACTATTATGTCACAAAACCGAATTTATCTTTTACGTTAACTCAGGTCCATTCAAAAAATTCTACGGAGACAATTGCTAATAGAATCGATTAAGGGTTCAATATACCAATCAGGGTCCTTTTCTTTATACTCATAAAGCAGCTTTAAAAGCTGAGATGCATCATTTCCTTCCACCTTATGTTCTTGTTGTAATTGGGCCACAACATTGGCAAGATCACGTGTTAAAAAAAGCTGGTCTGGGTATTTAACAGATATAAGAGACCGTATCATTGCCAGATCACACCGACCATTTACTACCAAATGGCGAATTTCTTCACGACACTCATCAGAGAACCAGCGATTTTTAGGAGCAAAAATTTCAGTATCCGGTAAAAGTTGATGCTCAACATGGTGATCATTAAAACTAGTAATGCGAACCACACCGGTTGCAAAAGGCAAATTAACTTTCCAATCACAATTAAGTTTTTTAGAACCTTTATTGTGTTGATTTTGTAAGTTATTAGTTTTCTTTGGTTGATACGTTCTACCAAATTCACACTTATAATACAGGTTTAGTAAACGTCCATTATGATCAGTTTTACTACGTATCTTTATTGCTATAAATCCTTTTTGACGGCCATATTCATCAATATAATGTTCTGCAATTGGCCATTTAGGAAAAGTATCATCAACAGCAAACACAATTAGTTTGTTAATGTGAGGTAATGAACCATTAATCATAAACAAATCTTGTCCTTTATGCGTTTCATAGGTTTCATGGGTTTCATCGGTTTCATCATGTAATAATTCTTGAGATAGGTCTACTATTTCTTGAGAGGAGTCCACTGATTCTTGAAAAGAATCTGCTAATTCATGAGCAGAATCCAATAATTCTTGAGGAAAGGGATTCAAACCTAAGGCTTGATACTTCATAAATTGTTCTGAGTTAGAGGCCGAATTCATAAGTCGTTGTTATTCAAAAAAAGACTGGAAGATTAAATAAAGAAAAAAAAAGATTGAACACATGTAAATGAGTATTCAAAAATATTCTTAGATTTATGAATATAAACACTATAAAGTAATAAGTGCCACCTCAATCTTTGTAAAGAAAAACCTGTTAATAAAGAAATTCAGTTAATATATTTGCAAGACACATTTATACAGTAAAAGAAAAAAAAAATCTACTTAATACCTTGATTAAAGCAAAAAAACACTTGACAGCTTAGTAAAAGCAAAAAAAAAGAAATGCCACCCATAACGAAAACCACCCGGCACCTCCTATTCAAAACTTCCAGGTGTCTTCTCACTTTACGAAGGTCTCTCTTTCTTTTACAAGGTGTTGGGTAGTTAATCAGAAGTTGATAGTCATTTTTTTATTGCTTTAATAAATAGTGGGTAACTTATTTTCTTTAATGGCACTTCATACTTTTACAAACTTCCAGGTGTCTTTCACTTTATGAAAGGTTGTGTGGCTCTTTCTTTTTTTACAAAGTACCAGGTGGTTCTCTTGCTTTTGTCAGGTCTCAGGTAAATATCAGATGGTCTTTATTTTTAGGTAACTAACTGAACTTCTTTAATGGCACTTCCTGTTTTTACAAAAATTTCAGGTGTTATCTTGCTTTACGAAGGTATTTCATGGACTCTTTCTTTTTTTCAAGGTGTTTGGTTCCATTCGCTTTAATTAGATCTTAGGTAGTTTTACATTCATAATGGTGATCATTAAAACTAGTAATGCGAACCACACCGGTTGCAAAAGGCAAATTAACTTTCCAATCACAATTAAGTT